CATGCTGTTTAGATGTTCCTGTTATTTTGAAACCCTTTATGAAAATTCACATATGCGGGTTTTGAAACATGAAGAACAATATTAGGTCTGTTTCCCTGTAGAAAATCCTGATATGATTGTATAAAATATTAACCCCATTTCATTTTATTGAATACGCACGGCACTGTCTGAAATGATTTTCGTCTCTGAAACACTGATCATACTGATTCATGCATTCATTCATACCGTTTAAAATTTGGTAAAGATCGCACGACTAATAATAGCTGAGATAAAGTGGGGGGGCCGTTTGAAATGAGACACTCTGTATATTTATATATGCATTTACATATGTTTTTCTACTCACATAACTAAAATGGCATTTAGCGTACGGATATGTACCACGCTAAATGATCGATTAATCACGGATTGTCGATCTGTGATTTATTCAAAATATTAAACACGTTACCATGGCAACACGATTTCTTAAACACATCACCATGGCAACACAGTTCATTAAACACAGCTTCAGTAATTTGAGACATGTCTGGCCTGTCAATTGTATTAACTGTCAACTGTTATTTTCTAATTTTGTATCAGAATTATTTGTTTGTATCAGAATTCTTCATTAAAATTATATGCGAAAAGTATAGACGAATGTGGAATCGGAGAGAATGTTCTGGTACTTGCATATCTCCAAGAAGTGTAAAAATGAAGCATCCATCTTTGAGAAAAATGTATTTATTCTGTGCTAAGCATGACAATAAACGTGAAACAAAGGTTAGTAAGCAATGGACTGGACACATCTACAACCAATATCACTTATACGTGTCTCGCTGGTTGCATGCAGTTGCATGTATTATGTTCTCAATTCCCATTCCTTTCGAATTATTTTGTAGGTTAGCAGGAATTGCAGGTATGTTAATGTAATTTTCGGAGTTATTAGAAAAATCATAGTATGTAACGCGTTTATAAACTCTTCTAGACACTCGTTTATTAAACACTCGCTCCGCTCTGCTCCGCTCGTGCTTAAACTACTCGTTACTAAAAGGACGTTTATAATACTTGTTACATAATATACTATTATGCATTTTATTTATTTCTCAAAACTCCTATTGAATAATTTTGTATAAAGTCAAACCTTTGCCATTGACGAGTCGTTTATGAGTGTAGAGTACTCAAGTTCATTGGAACGCTATCATCAGATAGGTAAACGTTATAATCCTGTCACATTATTGACAAAGAGGCAAAAGTCGGCAACGGCAAGTTAATCAGTAATTAAACTACCTAACGGGTGCATTTCTGTAATTAAAATCATGGAAAAAATCCATTCCGAAATTACACTTCATCTTGATGATGGCAATCTGCAGATTACGTGGTGTACGTCATTATAATTAAACCAATTTGAAGCTCATCAAATTAAGCACTGAAACCTGCGTTCTTTTATAGACAGACCTTCATCGACATGGAGTTTTATAGAAGGATAAAAATATCAAAATTATGGTTTTCAAAGTCAGCTTTTAATTTTCGTGCGTGTTTTGTTTTTGTTATAATTGATATTCAAGTTCTTCCTCATTGTCGACCAAACATTATCAAATACTGGCATTCATTCGGATGTTACCCATAAATGTATTTATCAATAATACTGATTTGATCGCCAAGGGAGTTGAAACGTTTATCACATGAATTATGAACATCATATCCATATCTAATATTTCCTCGTAATAGTAGGTACAACCGGCAACCTCGGAGAATGCTTCCAATAGAACTTATGACGTCAGCACTGGCCAGGTTAGTGTACCGCCAAATGCTATGTTTGAATCACATCCAACGAAATTATTGATGTTTCTTCATGGTATTTTACGGGAATCACCGCATATTCGGTCCGATTCTTTAAAAAGTGTTCAATAGGGTGGCTAAATTAGTAACGTTGTTACTAATAAATTTTTTAACCACCCCAGATTTTCCACTATTCATATCTGGTATTCTATAAAAACAAAATTTATCAATGTGGCTAGTTTTTTTACATTTCCATTCAATAGTATTGCTATTGTATTGCTATATTTCTGCCTTTTTAACGTCAAATTAACCTAACAATTGATATACTCTACAAGCACTCTTCAAGCACTTGGTTGAGACATTGCTATAAACATTAGAATCGGTCCCCTGATAGGATCCTTGTGCATACTGTTCCCATATTTGGAGTGCAGCACCCAAACATACTCTGAAACTTTTGGATTCTGTCCAAAAAAGAGCAATTCGTCTCGTGGGTGATGCCTCGCTCACAAACTCACTCACTTCTCTGGAACACCGTAGAAAATTTGGCGATCTGGCTCTATTTTATAGATATTTCCATGAACGATGCTCTTCTGAAATATCAACAATTGTTCCTTCCTTGGCAGTGTCCGCGAGATTAACTCGTCGATTTAAAGCTTCGCACCTCTTCGTGGTCACTTTGGAGACCTGCAGAACATCTCCTTCCAAAGACTCGTTTATCCAACGAACAGCAAGGCTCTGAAACACATTGCCAAGGGAGGTGTTCCCCGAGGCATATAACCTCCACAAATTTAAACAGAACACCAATTTCTACCTTATTTTCCTTGGTTCTCACGATGTTCTCTGAACAGTAGAGGATATCCCTTCTCGTGAGAACCAGAACTTAAAAAAAAGTAAAAGTGAAGCAGCAAGTATCTGAAATACTAGGCATTAGTTATAAATATTCTCTAAGTGCTCTCTATACTGATTTATTACAAAAACTCAACTGAGATTTATTTTTACATGTAGTAGAATAAAAGTAGCTCACCAACGTCTTTTATATCTTGGCATGGGATAGATTTTCCGAAATTCAAGGATGGATTTGTTGAATCCCTCAAAATTCTATTGTATGATGCTATCCATCTAGTGAAATAGGTATTTTTTTGTTTTCACAAATAACAAGGTAGGTATTCAAAACTTTCTTGTCGTAGAATTACCTCTTTTGCAATATCTCGCCTAGTATCAACAGATGAACAACATAACCTTGAAATAGTGCCACAGTTTTTATTAAAAACCTTATATGTAGTCACTCCACAAATCACTAGAAAAAGGTGGTGATTATCTGCCACTATAGAAAGTGGAAAAAACATGACAAGTTCTTAATTTATCATCCATCTATGTGCCTTAGAGAATCAGTAAATCTGTAAGTGGTTCAAATAACCGCACCGAAAGTATTGAAAAAACTAAGCAGATTGTATTATCTTACTACGATATTCCATTCATTATGTACACTCGCCAGCAGAGAAAATGTTGTGGTTAGAGGGTAGAAGCATTCTTATTGCAGTGGTGATTTAGAGAGTTGACAACGTCCATGTGCGAAATTTCCTCAGCAGGAAAGCAGCGTTCTGAATAGTATGGTGTAGGCCTGCTTACTGACTCGATATACCACGTTGAAAGCAGTACTATCGATTGGAATGCAACAGTGAATCGTACAGGACTATCCCCAGCCACGTGTCACATGAAATTAGTAAATGACGTTCATCAGATATCTGCACTAGCTTCGAAGAGTATCAACCCAGGTCTTTGATAATGCCTGTCAGTGGCGTAATTAAGATTCATTCTTGGGGGCGGTCTAGGTCCAATATCTAATATTTTGGAAAAAAAAAGCAATACGTAACTTATGTTGGATTTAATAAATGTGTGCATTATATGGTAACAATAACAAACTAAATTAAAAAGAATTGAAAACTTAACCGAATAATAGCACATATCACAAATTAAAAACATTGAAATCGAAGCAAAAAACATAAATTTGACTGATTCAGTTAATACTACCGCAGATAATACTAATACCTTCCATCTAACATTTTTATCGCATCGCAAGACAGACATCAGGAAGAATACTCATATTTACATAGGGTTATGCTGACCTCCAATATTCGGTCTGAGGTTCGATTTATACGTCCATGGGTTCGAACAAATTTCAAATCAAATTTCCGTGATATTTCCTATTTCCATGTCTATTTTCTCGATTTTCCTCTTAGTTGAATTGATTACCAGATTTTTTCGGTTTTTCAGACAGCTCTGGATGGACCGTCTGCCCTTTATTACGTCTTCATAGTGCCTGTGGATCTTGAATGAAACACTCTGATAGAGGAACCCTCGAATGCAATTGCTCATACTTCAAAAAATGAAATGTGACCAGGGAGTTTCAGGATAAGAAGCATGTAGAGTTCGAATTCTAAGTTGTTGCCCTAATATCAATAAGGATAAATCGAGGGTCAAACCGCAGTACCTCGTAAATATAAATAACATTTTTATGAAAATCACATTTTTCATTGAAAATGCTCCAGAACATCTATCTCCATCTATTGGGTGAGTTAGGCTGCAGTTTTTCACATGGTTACTGCAGGAATATTGAAAAACATTAACTCCTATGTTTTATAACTTGAGATTCTGAAGCAGTAACTCGTAACTCGCTATATATTCGTCAATGGCACGATAATGTGGTGTGCTGTACCCAAACTGACTTTCCGTTCTACAGGTAGGAAGATTTCCTAATGCTTCATTCTTGTCTTCATCAGTTGGAGTAATCATTATGATATCTTTATAATGAAGTTCCTGTATGGAAAGGTTATTCCTGAATGATTATAGGATTTCTCAATTTCAGTTTTTTCACATAGGAGGTCCTGCATATTGAAATAATTATTCTACCGGTAGTTACGTACTCCTGCTCAAAGTAAATAATGATTATCTTCGAAATTGCATCTGAACAAACGCAATAAATATTGTTAGCTGCACAAAAATGCAAACCTAGATGACTCCTCCAATGGAAATGTTTCATCTCATATTTTCAAATCCAACTCTTGTTACAAGAAAACAGTACCTCGTAAAAACAATTGGAAAATGTAGAGCACCTCGTGAGTAACACAATTTTTTTGGAAATTTTGATTATGCTTTTAATGTCGACATATTTTCGAGAAGAGTAGATTGATATTCATCATACAGGTTGTGGAAAGAAATTCTGAATTGAGACTCTATCACGAATCTATTGAAACGATAGCAATGAATAACATTCTATGATTTTATTGAATTATGGTGACAAAACATGAGAAATGAAAATTAAATACGACTTATGCTCAGATGTCTGCATGAGCATTCAAAAAGACCCCAGCTTCAGGGCGTCCAGCTCCCCCTGGACCACCGAAATGCCTCTGGTACTGAGCAGTAGCGTCGACTCCGAAGTCCTTCTTCGGGCTGGTGTAGATGTTGTATTTGCCACCTGCAGCAACGTCAGTACCATAATTGCGCGTCCTGTCGGCTTGGATGAAAGCTCCGGAACCAGAAGGGGTGTGCGTGTAGTCCAAGCGGCCACCAACCTGGTCGGGCCTGAGCCCGTGTGACGGGAAGTACTTGGCAGCTGAAGCGGTACCGTCGAATCGGTGGTTGTCGGTTTGGTGAATGGTGCCGGTGTGGCTGATGTCAACTCCTTGTCGTGTTATGCCCCAGTCAGTTTGTCTGTAATGAACGATGAATGACATTTTGATTTTTGACATAACAATTTTTAAAGTATTAGAGAAAATTACACTTTTTTTAGGTTGCATTTCAGAATAGTTAGATGCATTTCAGTAAGCATCAATTGTATTTCAATATAGTCAGTTGAATATCACCCAATGTGCATATATACGTGGATTCAACGTTAAATCAACGTTGATTGGTTGAAAAATACGTCACTTGTTGAATTCACAATGTTGTCACTATGGTTATGACAAAAACGTTATGAGAATACGGGTCAACAACTTATATTTAACGTGATTATCTAACGAGCCTTTGTTAAAGTTCAAACTAGGTATTTTTCAAATTTAATGTACATTTTGAATAAGAATACGTTATTTCCTGTGATAATATTGCCGATATTCATCGGTTGACTACGTACCCAATGGGGAAGACCACTGATTTTTTAAAACGACATTATCGTGAACTATATACTGAAAAACTACCAGTGAATTGATTTTGAATTTTTTTCATTCATGCTAAGACGATGAAAAAAATAAATTAGTATATGTCCATTTCAAAACACACAATTCCTGCGCCATTTGAAATTTCATCAATTCATTGGTGTGACTGGTGCGACGTCTTAGTCCCAACACGCCTATTGTCCTTGAACTGACCAATTACACTGCAACACTGCAGAATGACGAGGTATCGGAGAGAGACAGCTACAGTTCGGGACTAATACGTCACGACTCCATCATATTTGGCTGTTTGAAATATGGAATGAAATATGCTGAATTCAAAACGATATAGGATTCCCTTCAACTCCAACTCATAATATTGATTGTACATAAAATGTAAATCATGATTCGTCGATTGAAAGAGGTTTGCATGGATTTCTTCCCTCAGTGGTCTTCCCAATTCTCAATTCTCAACGATTTTTCAACATAATGAAATACAATTGATACTTTCGGAAATATAATTTACTGTTCTGAGAAAAACAACTATATATAAAGGAAAGTAGTGCGAGTATTGATCATTTATCTACTATATTTTTTGAGAAAGGAGTGTAATGAAGTCACAAAAAATTTTGCGAGTACAATGAAAAGTTTTTCTTTGAACCAGTATTTCACCTGTCGAAGCTACTGTGTTAGCGAAACATGTCGTGTAACTAAGAATTTTGTGGAAATGTCATCGTTTTTGAATTTTTGAAGTTTTTCATTTGCTTAGATTTCCATCAAGTAACGGCCGAGTCAATTCAAAAATAAAAAACAAAAATTGAACGATAACTGAACAATGAATTCACCTTTTTCCACGGCTAACTGGCAATAAATAGAACTCTTGACCCTCTTCATCTTCAAAAATTTCGACTGGTACAGCAGCTGCAATTGCTAGGCAAAAAGCGACAAACACGAACACTTTCATTTTTACCCGTAAATTAGGAACTTGGTTATAATTTATTATTCTGAATCAGTATAGTGCCAATGTTTATCAATGGAGATTGAAAACTGAACTACTTCAGCTCCACAACAATATTTATATAGAAAATACATATTTTGAGCGGGATACTATACGGTCCTTCACCAAGTACCAAGCAGTGGGAAAACCATGATTCTTTTCTTGAATGAACAAGATCACACATTATTCAAAGGGGAGTATCAGATATCAGAGTTATCAGACCGATTGAACTATTGACCATTGAATCGACATTGACCTTGAAATTCACATGGCATTCTTCGGGGTCTGGTGAATAACTGTTTTCTAATGAACGATCAGAATCAAACAGTGAAAGTATAGGTAAATACTGTCTGTAGGTTAATCGAGGAGGTGGTACATTCATTATTCCAAATTTTTTGGGATTTCCTCTCCTCGTTTCTATAAAATAAAAATATGAATATTATTTCAATATAGGTGTAGTGAGGACAAATCAGATGATTTGCCCCAAAATGTCACTGCGTTTAAAGAATTTTCCTATCAGAGAGCCTAAAAGGAAAATTCACTAGCTTGTCAGTGACAATTTGTATTGAAACATCGATAAATCGAAACTAGCTGAACATATCCTTACTGAAGACGGACAACATATGGCAGAGTGGAATATTATTAGAATCATTGGAAAAGAAGATAACAACCAGAAGAGAAAAATCAAGGAATCTGCTTGCATTCTTCTGAACGAAGACAATAGCATTGCTTCTTGTTCAGTTGATATAGTCAGAACATGGTATTCACTACTAAAATCTGAACATGAAAATGGAAAATTCAAGATTAATTAATGAAAACATCCTGTAACTCATTTGATTGCCAACGTCACCAATTGTCATTGAAAACTGAAAAGCTTCAAGACATATTATACCACTTCGCAATTGAAAAAATCTCTTTTCATGTTGAAAACGGGAGCAGAATCGGTCCCGAAACGTCCAAAGATAAGTGAAAATTTGATATTTTTTCTATATGCCTTTATTTTTCTTCTCCAAAAATTTTTCAATACAAATTGTCACTGACAAACTAGTGAATTTTTCTTTAAGGCTCTCTGATAGAAAAATTCTTTAAACGCAGTGACATTTTGGGGCAAATCATCTGATTTGTCCTTACTACACCAAAGGTCACCTATATTGAAATAATATTCATATTTTTATTTTATAGAAACGAGGAGAGGAAATCACAAAAAATTTGGACCTAGAATCATTAGGTTGAACATTTCAAAAAGGTGTTGCCAAATGAAGAGCTCTTCAACCGACATTTTGTCTACCTATATCGGAAGTGGATTACAATTTCCTGATTCTGAAATCAGTGGTCAATAGAGTTCTTGTTCAATGTCCCATACAGGGTGTGAATGAATAGGTGATTCGATTCCTTCTTAAATTTTGAGAAAAAGTTCACATAAACATAATATGTCCAACTTGCCTTGTTTGAAATACAAGATGTTGAAGTTAGAAGAGTAAATCTTCTTCATGATCCCCTGTACAAGTTTCCACGGTGTGTGGCAGAATCCAGTCTGGAGTCTGGTTAGTGACCGACTGGCTCAGAATTTCAGAATGAAACTAATTGAGGTTATTGAGTAATCTCAATGGCTGTCTTGAGAACATTTTCAGTGTTTCCTCAAGAAGTAAGCAAGATTCGAAAGAACAAAATCGACCCTTTTTTATTTTAATAGGCCTTTTCATTTAGATATATTTTTTAGATCCAAAATTTGATTGGGTAATGCGAAGGTGTAGTCTCAATGGCTATAGTTTCGACACAAAATTCTGATTAGCCATTTCGAATATGGCGGTTTTTATTGACATTATTGACGTTCAGTTAAATGTCAACAGTGTCAACGATCATGGGCATTTGTCATTGAGAAACAACAATAACAATCTATCTTCCATTGTATTATGATAATTTGATTCAAAGAAACGTTACTTATTCGTTACTGAGGAGTGTGGTGCAAGGTGTTTCGGTGAAAACGGCCGCCATTGTCGTTGGATGCGAGATGTAAACAGAGATAGTCATTTGTCATCTAAATGGAAAAGACCTATTAGAACGCACGGCATTGCACAACATAATCTTCTTCTTCAAAAAAGTGATCATATTGATGGTTATTCATACCAGCCCAAGTTTGGTGAGAATCGCACGACTAATATACAGGGTGACATTTTGAAAACTTCCCACCCTCAATATCATCCTTCTAGTAAATAATATGATGAATCGAGAAGACAGGTCGATTTCATTTTCGAAGGGGTCACTTAAAATTATCAGTTTTAGCCCTCTCTATTCAACCCCCTAGGAGGGGTAGATGTTACCCTTAGGATCCCAAATAGGAAAGGGGGTCGAATGGCACATATTTTTGAAGGACGTCCAATTCTCTCTCCAACGGTACCCTAGTTTATCTTTTTCTTCTGAGCAGTTTCCTGAAAACGCCATGTCAATTAGATAACTTCCCACCCTTAAGATCTTCCTTCCAGTGAATAATATGAAAAATCGAAAAGACAAGTCGATATCATTTTCAAGGGGGACACTTCAAATGCATATTTTTAGCCCTCTTGGTTCAATTTCCTAGGGGGTGTAGATGTTACCGTTATAATCTCAAATGGGAAGGGGGGTCAAATGGCATATTTTTTTGAAGTGCGTTCAATTCTCTTTCCAACGGTACCCCCGTTTATTTTTTTCTTTTGAGCAGTTTCCAAAACATGCCGTGTCAATTAGAAAACTTCCCCACCCTCAAGATCTTCCTTCCAGTGAATAATATGAAAAATCGAGAAGACAAGTCGATATCATATACACTTCAAATGCATATTTTTAGCCCTCTTGGTTCAATTTCCTAGGGGGTGTAGATGTTATCCTCGAAATCTCAATTGGGAAGGGGGGTCAAATGGCACATCTTCATGAAGGGCGTTCAATTCACTTTCCAACGGTACCCCAGTTCCCTTTTTGCTTTTGAGCAGTTTCCAGAACATGCCGTGTCAATTAGAAAACTTCTTCATCCTTAAGATCTCCCTTCCAGTGAATAATATGAAGAATCGAGAAGACAAGTCGATATCATTTTTGGGGGACACTTCAAATGCATATTTTTAGCCCTCTTGGTTCAATTTCCTAGGAGGTGTAGATGTTATCTTCGAAATCTCAATTGGGAAGGGGGGTCAAATGGCACATCTTCATGAAGGGCGTTCAATTCACTTTCCAACGGTACCCCAGTTCCCTTTTTGCTTTTGAGCAGTTTCCAGAACATGCCGTATCAATTAGAAAACTTCTTCATCCTTAAGATCTTCCTTCCAGTGAATAATATGAAAAATCGAAAACGACACGTCGATATCATTTTCAAGGGGGACACTTCAAATGAATATTTTCAACCCTCTTGGTTCAACCTCCTAGAAGGGATAGATGTTACCCTTAAAATCTCAAATGGGAAGGGGGGTCAAATGGTCGAATGGCACATATTCTTGAAGGACGCTCAATTCTCTCTCCAACAGTACTCTACTTTATCATTTTTTAAGTAATTAGAAGAGGTCTGCACTGAGATAGATGCATGGTTTACAGATCAGTATTATTGTATTGACTATGCTTTCAGTTCAGAATCTTGCAACAATTGGAACATCTCAGCATCACAGTTCAGGCACGTTCTAATTACTTCTGTTAGTTTAGAACGGCATTCATCTGAAACTACTCATCAAAAAATGATGACTTAGTACACTGTTGGAAATAGAATTGAACGCATTTCAAAATGATGTGCATCTTTCATATGAGGTTCTAAGGCTAACATGAACCAAGAGGGCTAAAAATAAGCATTTGAAGTGTCTCCCTTGAAGATGATGAGGGATGAGGGTGGAATGTTTCTGAATTGACACGGTTTTTTTTGAGAACTTCTCAACAAAAAATGGAAAACTAGTGTACCGTTAGAAAGAGAATTGAACGCCTTCAAAATGGTACTACTTGAACCCCCTTCCTATATGCGATTCTAAGGGTAACTTCTTCCCCTCGAAAATAAAATTGACCTGTCTTTCAGATTTTTCATATTATTCACTGGAACAAATATATTAAGGGTGGAAATTTTTGAAAATGTCACCCGTAAATAGCTGAGATATAGAGAGGAGTCCGTTTAAAGTGAGAAAACGCTGTATATTGATTGATTGATTATTTTCTGTATCATTAAATTTCTCCATCCAGTTCCCTGATTTTGTTCTCAATCTGATGGAGCGCAGAAAAATGAGTCAATTTATCATGTTCACGAAATACCAATATCGTGGAAAATAGGGAAAGAAGGTAGGTAGATATTTGACTTTTGAGAATTTTTGAAGTTTATAAGCTCTTGGGTATACTACCTTTAGCAAATAATTCCAGAAAATTGCCGGTCTATAGAGACAAGAGTTTTGGTAGAGAGCAGTTCGGCATATTTCGAGGTAGACGACAAAATTAGGTGCTGATGTAATAATATTAGGCACTCATTTCAGGATTTTCATTCAAAAAATTGTGTGTTCTGCTGATTTACAGTTCTTTATCTCTGAAATAACTCTAAGAAATCCAAATTCGATTGAATTTTCATGAAGCCTGAAGCAAAATAATAATAATCGTTTATACGAGATTAGCACATTCACCCCATAACAAATTGCAAAGAAATTAGTGTATCTACTGGACTATTTGTTCGATTTCGATGTTCGAGTACTCATTCTCTTCAGAAATGAATAGCCTAAGATGACATCGGTACAGGTTGGAAAAAATATGATTTTCTTTTTCTGCAGCGGTTTTTGTAAATGACAATAATTTATTAGAATCCGCCATTTTGTTTTTGTTCATTATGAAATTTTCAAATATTCCACTGTATACTATAGCCCTTTAGCTATGAAACGACGCCAAGAAATTCGAATTCGGTTGAGAAATGATGAAACCACGAGGAAAATAAAAACTTCCGGTTTTTTTGTGACCACCCGATATAAGCCCGAAACATGTTTCTGTCTTGCTGATCTATCTTTTAATCAGATAAAAAACATGTAGAGATGGTGGTTTTTATGTATAAAATAATTGAGTTCATGAGTTGTAAGTAATTTATCGTATTTTACGGGTCTAAAGGCGTTTCAAAATCAATAAGGACGCCCATGGTCACACCAATTTTGGCATTGTTACGATGGAAACGGTTATTCACACAGAATCAAATCATTTGTTAGTCACACGGTCAATATACCTTCTTATCAGTACGATAACCTAAGCGCGCTTTCATAAATGATTCCTTAACACCAGAAGACAGGGTTATCTGGTATTCCCACTGTTTTGGAACAAGGGAAAGAACCGTTTCAGATCGTGGTTATCTCGCTCGAAATACAGATATAAAAGATGCTGATGGGTTGTAGTGGTCAGTTCAGTTTCCAACTACGATTTGTAAACAGCTGCAAATAGTATTTTTTTGTTATTAAGTTACTAATAAACGAATTAAAATGAAAGTATTCGGGTTTGTCGCTTTGTGTTTAGCAGTCGCTGTAGCTGTCCCAGTAGAAGTATTTGAAGATGACAATGGTCAAGAGTTCCTTTTGGTGCCTGTTAGCCGACAAAAGAGGTGAGATAACTGAAAAATATTTGTTAATCCGAATCCAAATGTATATATAATCATTTTTATAAAAAAGGTATTGGTTCTGACTATCACTTTATCAATCAATCAATCAAGGTAGCACCCAAACATACGCTGGTGCTCTTGGAGTCCATCTAGAGACGAGTCATTCACCTTGGTGGAGATGCCACACTCACTGATTCCTATCATTGCAACACCGCAGGAAAGTCAGCGATCTTTCGCTTTTCTGTGGATACTTCCACGGGAATATTCTCCATCCCTGTTATCATTACATCACTAGCATTACCAGTCAGACATACTCGAAAGGCTCAGTCAGCCTTCTAACTCGAGCTATTTCGAACAAATCTTTACTAAAACTCGTTTTCCTATAAAACGATGAAACTTTGGAATGATTTGGTAAAGAAATATTCCTAAGAACTCATATCTCACAAATCTCACAAAATATTCCATTATCTATCTTCTCTCTCTATTCTTCCAAGGTACACACGATGTTCCTCGAATATAATAGGAATTCCCATTCGTGCACTCCAAGAGATAAAAAGTATCGGAAAATAATATAGGTATCATTTTGTCGAACTAAAATTGATAATTTCAATATTACTCAACACCAAACAACGCGCTTCTACCACCTTGATTCAAAGATAATTTCAGGAGATCGATATAGTGATCTTCCTAACAAGTGCGGAAAGTGATACTTTACCGCACGCGAATGCCGTTGACCCGAACGACGCAAAGCGAAGTTCGGGCAATCAGTCGAAAAGACACTTTTAGATTTAGGAACAATATTTTTTCTACAAACGTAGGGAATTGATTGATTTGTTCTATGAATTATTTCTACAAATAGGAACAACTATAGAAATAGTGATATATTCTCTATCTTCTAATAATTAGAGATATATCTATTGTGTGTACTGTTTGAAGCATCATGTAGGTAAGGTTATTGCGGAAGCCAGCATGCCCATTGCCCATGGTGTTTGGCCTCTAGGTTTCAGATACATTTCTATGAAATGAGCCAAAAATACCTCTTCTTCATTTGGTGTTTTTTTCTTTTTTACTATTGCACTATTCAATAAATCCCGAGTAGTGCTTCTCATACCTTTCTTAAGACTTCGTTGGCAATCTGTAGCTGGAAGTTTTTTAACGCAATTCCACTGAGTCGAAAATGACAGTAACGCTCTGTCTGTCATTCTGAGAATTACACTAACTAATTTGTGTTTTGGTTGACATTGCCACATCAGATGAATTAAAGGCTATAGTGGGATTTATATAACAATCAATTATCATTTTTCGATATTTCTTCATTTTCACAATAAATACCTAGTGCAATTTGATGACTGATTTTGTACAAACTTACTAATCACTGCAAAAAAAATTTTTTTTCAAATTGTGTTACCCACAACTCATATTTTGCGAGAATATTATATAAATGTTTTTTCCGCACTACTGCGGAAAAATGACACTTCCCAAACTAAATTGCGTGCGGGTATAGGGTGAATCACGCACGCTTGTAGAAAAAATTGATTTCCTATCAACTTACTTTCCATTCATCTGTGTTACTGAAGTCATTTATTTGTACAGTATAGGTACTCAACGCAAATATTAGATTTGGATTTTAGGTCAAAGAAAATTGTTTGCAAAACATGAAAATAGATTTTTGTTAGATGAATTTTCATTCTTTTTGGGCAACTCCTTCCGGTAATTTGTATCCTCATTGAAAAGTTAAATCAATTGAGTGAAACTGACTTCCTGTTTCTTCCAGACAAACGAAATGGGGCATATCCAACTCAGGAGCAGGCATCAGCCACACCGGAACCATCTATTCTAACGGCAGGCACCAATTGGACGGTACTGCCTCGGCAGCAAAGAACTTCCCGTCACACGGGCTCAGACCCGACCAAGTTGGTGGCCGCTTAGACTATACTCACAACCCTTCTGGTTCGGGAGCATTCGTAGGAGCCGACAGGACACGAAACTGGGGAACTGACGTTTCTGCAGGGGGTAAATACAACATCTACACCAGCCCGAAAAAGGACTTCGGAGTGGACGCCACTGCTCAGTACAACAGACATTTCGGTGGACCAGGGGGTACCGGACATCCTAATGCTGGAGTATTTTTGAATGCTCATGGAAGATTCTGAAGATGAATGACTGATTTGTTATTATTTATTTTTATTTAATTCGAATAAATTAGATGCTATAGCAAATTTTGGTATCATTCATTGATGAAACACTAATGGTGTCCTTCGTTTTTAAATAACCCATATTTGATGGTATCTCATAGACTAGCATAGAGCATAGATAATTCCAATTTATCATTATATCAATTATAATTCCGCCTGGGAGATATGAGGGTTGATCAAATGATTACGAAGATATTATGAAAATGACAGCGTGTTACCTATGAACTTTTTAACTAACTACATTGTTTTGTATCATGTAAATAAGATACCACCATAATAAAATTGAAAAATAATTGTGATTAAAGATATTTCACGAATAATAATAATAGTGATTACAATATTGTCCCCATAATCTTCTACTAAGTGTAAAGCATCACATTTTACATAATATGGAGAGTATCACAGTTTCGGAAGAGAATAGAAAGGGTGGAGTTGAATTACCACAATAATGACAAACCATCATGGATAAAAGGTACCGTTTTATTGCTGTTATATTCACGAAGATAAAAATTGTAGTACGAGTCGAAACCAGTAACTCATTCTAGAATATAGGTATCGAATTGTTACCGGATACTGATGTAATATGTGAATGCAACCATATACAATGCACATCCCATGCATCCACGAATTTTATGAACTAAAATGTTCCTGTGTGATTTGAATCGAATCGAGCTCATGAAATACCTGGAACATTCAGGTATTATCAACGATAGGCAATATGGCTTCCGTCATCAGAGATCAACTCGTGACCTGCTCGCTTACGTCTCACATATATGACAGTAATCTATTGAGAAATATGGTGAAACCTTAGCCGTGGCATTTGATATCTCCAAGGCATTCGATCCTCGCCAAGCTTCCATCTTATGGCTTGCCTTCCCAGCTATGTTCTCTGCTAGCTAGTTTTCTCTCAAACAGGTCTCTCCATGTATAGTGGTCGACGGAGTTTCATCTAACTCTCTTACCATAGATGCTGGTGTTCCGCAAGGATCAATTCTAGCACCAACACTATTTCTACTCCATATCAACGATTTGTTGGAAGCAACTTCATGTTCAGTACACAGCTTCGCGGATGATAGTACCCTCCATACCAACAATTCTCGAATGGGGATCCAATAACTTGGTAGATTTCAACGCAAACAAAACACAGACATGCCTCTAGAAAAGCCGATCTCACTGTGCCCAACATAAGCTTGTCAGGAGTAACCATACCTTTGAAGACATCCATTTCGATGCTTGGTATTACTATCAGCAAAAACCTTTCTTGGGAAAAGCACGTCAGATCAATTGCTAAAAGTGCATCCCAAAAACTTGGTTTTCTGTTTCGATCCAGGAGCTTTTTCACTTCCAGTCAGCTGCTTATGATCTATAAGGCACAGATCCGACCTGTCCTGGAATACTGTTTCCATATTTGGAGTGCAGCACCCAAACATACCCTGAAACTGTTGGATTCTGTCCAAAAAAGGGCAACTCGTGTCGTGGGTGCCTCGCTCACATATTCAATCACTTCTCTGGGACACCGTCGAAAAGTTGGCGATCTGGTTCTATTCCATAGATTTGTTCATGGACGATGCTCTTCTGAAATATCAACAATTGTTCCTTCCTTGGCAGTCCCCGCGAGATTGACCCGTCGATTTGAGGCTTCGCACCCCTTCGTGGTCACTTTGGAGACCTGCAGAACATCTCTTTTCAAAGACTCGTTTGTTCAACGAACAGCGATGCTCTGGAACACATTGCCAAGGGAGGTGTTCTCTGAGGCATATAACCTCCAGAAATTTAAGAAGAACACCAATTCCTACCTTATTCCCCTTGGTTCTCACGATGTTCTCTGAACATTACAAGATATCCTTTTTCGTGGGAACCAGAACATAACAAAAGCTATTATCACCTACACAGTTGCCATATATTTTCGTTAGATTTGGGTACTTTTTCAAAACTAATTAGCAGATGTATGTATCACAAAAGTGGGGATACCGAAAAGATATATTGATTGGTTCACAGGTGCATCTGGATTGAACTAAATCCAATAATAATGATTCAACATTTCTAGTAAAATTCCTATGCTTCGCAGCAATACCAGAGAAAATGGCGAATACAAACTGATCAATGAATGTGTGACCAACTTGTTTCTATAACTCGGTTGATTACAATATTAAGACCATTAAGTGGTCAATTATCACCATATGCGCGAGTAAATCTTCATGAGATTCGCACGATCTTTTAACCCAAAAGCTAAAGGATCATTCCGATGACATCATGCGGTGATTCATGGAGGATAGTTTACAGAAATTGGCACTCATGAATTAATGAACGCACTGAATACACTGTCGGATGAAACAAATTGATAGTTTTTGATTGATGAATTGACAGCCAGATAATTGATTCAAAAAAACAAATCTATCACTACAGGGTGTCCCAAAATAATATATTTTTCACCAGCTACTTCAATGAGAAATAGTATGAAAAGTTCATATTGATATTGTTCGAGATACTTGAAGTAAAAGAAAACCATTTTTCGTTCTATGGAAATCCATGGTACCCAATTGGAAGTAACAATAAGATTTCAGACCTCGCCACAGGCCCTGATTAAGAGTTCTGACCGCCCTAAGCTAATTATGAGGACGCGCCCCCGCCATGAGTATTACGGTCGGCCTAAAAAGTAGTATATTAGTCTTGACTTTGTTTACTAGTATAACAATTTTGACATGATTCATACTACCTATAAAAGTTCTCGACTTGAAGTATTATTTATATATTTACATTTCTGTAATCTTAAAGACGAGAGGCATCATACAAGAGAAACATTTTTGCAACTGATCAATGTTTTATTTAAAAATTATAATAATCGAGTAATTATTATTTGCTTATAATAAGGTCTTTCTTCTTGCTTTAGCGTTTGCAAATCTTTCCACAATTTTTTCAAATTCGATAGTTTGAAGAATATCACTGTCTATGTACATTAGCGAGAGTGCTGCAAGCTTCTGCTGGCGGAGTGTGGAGCGTAAGTAATTTTTTACTCTCTTCATGCTGAAAAAGACCTTTCGCCGCTGCAGTTGGTAACACTCATTGTCAAAGAAATTCTTAATATTATCTCCACATTCGGGAACATGCTTAAAATATTGAAACTTTTTATAAACTGCAACAAACCCTTTCGGGTTCTGGCAGAAAGAGAACGCTCGACCTCGGTGTCAGATTTTGAAAACTGCGCCAAATGGACGCATTCTTCTGCAAAGGTTTCTTCTAAATCTGTAGCATATAGTTGTTTCAACTCCTTTGCTCTGCTTCTAATAAATTCACTGTCGTATAGTTCATGCAGTTTCCATCATAAGGAACCAAACTTTGTGTTTACTATATTATGAATAATTTGCCGGTTTTTTAAATGCACTTTAAGACAATCAATAGCTGCATAATAATTATCAACGATGAAAGATCGTCTCCTTTCTAACTCAATGTGCCCCGTTTTAATTTCATCAAAATGAAATTTTGGTTTCTTTCTTCTTCTTACGCGCGCTTGTTAAAATTTCAAAATTCATTTTTAAAATCAGGGACTATCAAGCGCATTTGGTTTATTGTTTTGTCTCGGTCTAGTTGAAATATGTAGGGTAGATGCAATGATGCTAGATTAGTGCATGCGAAGACAAGATTTTAGCGCGTCTTGCGCGCCCCCCGATCTTCGCGCCCTAGGCTGCAGCCTAATCAGCCTAATGGTTGATCAGGCCCTGCCTCGCCATCAAATGTCTGATCCGCTGATCTGTTTGACTTATCTCAATCAGTTTTTCTTGCATTCCCCAACCATTTTGCAGCTGATTACAATGGATCTCTGATTGCTGCTTGACTATCGGACATGATAATAATAATGATGATATCCTGTATTTCAGAGCAGCTATGGTGACTTTTCTGGCAGTTCCTGAAATTTCAAGTTACGCACAAACTTTTAATCAACCGCACTGAATCGAAAGTAGGCGTTTTCTTATTTCAAGAAACAAATATGTCAATTTCCCTCCGAGAGAGGAAAATATTATTACCATTGAGAGCCATGCAATCCAAGCCGGTACATATTCATTCATTCATTTTCTCCATCACCAAAGTGATAGAATATTGTTATGCTTGTATAGGTTTGATACTTAAATTCATTTACCCAAGACACACTACATCTTAGTAACGCATCGAATATTGTTTTCTTATCTCTTGGATAGCACGCAATGAATCATTTTTTAATGTTCGAGGAACATCGTGCGTACATGTATTGGATTTTTCAAATCTTTTGTTGACTGGGCTTGTCGACTTCGTCTGACTGGTATTGTTGGTAATGGAATGATAACAGAGATTTCTGAAGAACATTTGTCGTAGAAGTATATATGGAAAAGTGAGAGGTCACCGACTTTCCTATGGTGTTTCAATGATGTCATGGAATTAGTGAGAATCGCATCACCAACCAGGAATCTGAGAGCATCAGCGTATGTTTGGGCGCTGAACCACATTCGTGATATTATAAAACAGACCGTCTCTGTGCTTTGTAGACCATGAGAAGCTGTTGAGGTAAAGGTAGAGAGTAGCTTTCCGCTATATAGGATTAAAAATCCGAGTTTTTCTGAAGCAGCTTTCGCGATTGGTCTGACATGATTTTCCCACATTGCTGATGGCAATACCGAGCATACCTGTGGTGGACTTTGTGTGAATGGTGGTAACATAAATATGAGGTATACTGAGTTTCGCTTTTCTGGAACGGAACGTTGTCTGGAGAGTAGGTAAAGCTTGGGATAGAGCAATTGGTTATTCCCAAAACTGTTCATTAATGAGATTATACAGTGGGAACAATGTTCGTGCCAAAATTGATCAATGTGTGACGCCGGAATTGATGGCACAGGTATCAG